GTTGATTTTGCTAAAGAAATAGGGTCAGGGGTGGTAGAGAATTTCTAACACTCATGATTTTGCTGATCACATCCCGGTGATATAATTCAAAGAAAAACAACAACAACAAAAACCAACCCAGCTTTTTTGAGGTATAATTAACATGAAACACATTGCGCACATTTCGAGGGTCCAATTTGGCAAGTTTTATCTACACCTGTGAAGCCATTACCAAAATTAAGATAACGCACATATACATTTTGTCACCTTCCAACAATTGTCAATTCTCTGACACCAACTGAGTGTCCTACAGTTCAACTCAATCCTGATGCTAACTACCCAGAGTTGGCACAGCCTCCAAGTTAAGGGCTCAGCCCCACAAGACTGCCCCACTTCAGATGCCAGCTGCAAATGGGGTCCTGTAGTCTCTTTGCATTACTGCCTGGCTGACTACAAGTTTTGAGGTTCCCATGATCCTCCCCTTATGTTTGAGATTTCACTCGAACAACTCACAGAACTCAAGAAGGTGCTATACTTACAGATCATTTTATTGTAAAGGATACAACTCAGGGACTTCAAAGGGACTGTTACATAGGGCTGGGTCTTGTGGGAAGGGGTGGGGCACAGAGCGTCCCTGCCCTGTCCGGAAGCACCAGTGTCCCAGCATATCCATGGGGTCACCAGCCCGGGAGCTCTTCAGACCTCATCTTTCTAGAGTTTTTATCAAAGTTTCATTGTGTAGGTGTGATTAAATCATTGGTCGTTGGTAATTGAACTCAGTCTCCACTCTCCCAGATGTCAAGTGATGGGGCCAGTAGTTCTACCGCTCTAATCATATGGTGGGTTTCTCTGGCAACTAGCTCTGCCCTGAAGCTGTCTATGGGCCGCTAAGAGTCACCTCATTAGCATAAACTCATGTAGGGTTGAAAAGGGATTATTATGAATTAGATGCTTCTACCATAAGAAAATTCCAAGGGTTTTAGGAGTTCTGTGCCAAGTACTGGGACAAAAACCAAATATATATGTGTGTGTATATATTATTTTGCTCTGTGCTCCATCACGCAGAAGTTTGCTTCTGCCTCTTTGTAATCAGACACTGTGTTTTCTCTGTCTCTGTCTATATGTTTGTCTCTCTTTTTTAATCTGGTTTCTCTTACTCACAATCATTATTTTGAGTTCCATTAAACAGGTTAAATGAAATAGAAAAATTCCTTCAAAGACACAAGTTACCAAAGCTAATACAAGAAGAAACAGAAAATATAAATAGCCCTATATCTATGAAAGAAATGGAGTGTGTAATTTCAAAACCTTCCCACAAAGAAAATTCTAGGCTCACGTGGCTTCACTGATGAGTTCTACCAAACATTTAAGGAATAATTAACATTGTTGGGCACCAACTCATCCAGAGAATAGAGGAGAAAGGAATTATTCCCATCTCCTCTTATGAATCATAGTATCTGGATATCAAAACCAGAGAAAGCTATTGCAAAAAAAAAAAAAAAA